AGTTCAAACAGCTTAAGTTAGTATCTCCTAACACAATCTCGAAATTGATTGGCTACAACCTCGCTATGCATGGGGATTGTAGGCTGTCTGCTTTCTACTCCCACACTGGTCTCTCCTGGGGCCAGGCCGCACCAGGCCCCATCTCCCAGTCCTACATAGATCATGACACCTTCACTCTGGCCAAGAGTCTTTGTAGTTGGGGGACATGGGAAGGGTCCAACTTTAACAAGAAATGAAGAACACTCATCAAAAATATCTTTCTCCTTGTCCCATCTGTGTAGGCAAGGATCCCTCAGTCTGCTCAGAAGCACTCCCTTCCTAGTATTGCTGCATCTCATATACTACACCAAGGAATTGTAGTCTTGAAAAGAAATTCTGGAGTCAAGTACTAGCACAAGCCTTTTGCTGCCTGAGTTCCTTGGGGAACCATGACAGAGTAGAAAATATGAAGTTAAAATAGACCAACAGGATGACTGCGTATAAGACAACTTCATATGTTTACCTACACCACTTTGGTGTAGGGGTTAAGAGCACAGATTCTAATCTGGGAGAACTGGGTTTGATTCCTCGCTCCTTCACATGCAGCTGCTGGTGTTCTTTCAGAGCAGTTCTCTCAAGGGAAGTCCTCCAGAGCTCTCTCAGCCCCACCTACCTCACAGGGTGTCTGCTGTGGGAAGGGTAAGGGAAAGAAGATTGTAAGCCGCTCTGAGAGTCCTTTGGGCAGTGAAGGGTGGGGTATAAATCCAATCTCTCTCTTCTTCTTCTTCTACTTAAACATATAGTTTCATAGGTTTACCTATGTACACACACAGCTTCATGTGTTGATCTGTTTACACACACCAAGCTAGATCCAAAAAGGTGCAGAAACCTGATTCTGAAAGTGGACTGCCTGTGGTGGATCAAGGCAAATGTGCCTTAGATAGATGCCCTCACATAGGCGATAGATCAAGATGGGCAGCCATATTAGACTGTCTTTATAGATCAAGATGGGTGGCCGTGTTAGTCTGTCTGTAGCAGCAGACAAGAGCAAGAGTCCAGTAGCACCTTAAAGTAAAGGTAAAAGTTCGCTTGCTCGAAAGCCAGTCGAATCCGACTCTAGGGTTGCGGTGCTCATCTCAGTTTCCAAGCCGAAGAGCCAGCGCTGTCCGAAGACGTTTTCGTGGTCATGTGGCCAGCATGACTAAACACCAAGGCGCACGGCACGCTGTTACCTTCCCACCGAAGTGGTACCTATTTATCTACTTGCAATTTCTTGCTTTCGGACTGCTAGGTTGGCAGGAGCTGGAACTAGAGACGGGAGCTCACTCCGTCATGCGGCACCCGGGTCTCGAACTGCTGAACTACTGACCTTCCACAGCCTGCAGTTCAGCGTCGTAACCACTTGAGCCACTGCAGCTCCTCCAGTAGCACTTTAAGGACTAACAAAATCTGTGGCAGGGTAGGATCTGCTCACGTCTTCAGGTACCCTAACTCATACCCTGCCATAAATTATGTTAGTCTTGTAGGTGCTACTGGACTCTTCCGCTCATAGCAGATATTGAGCGGGTAAAGGAACCACCAACGTGTACGTAAAGTGCAGTCAAGTCACAGAAAACGTACGGTGATCCCATAGGGTTTTCAAGGCAGGAGACATTCAAAGGTGGTCTGCCATTGACTGCCTCTGCATAGTGACCCTGGTATTCCTTGGTGGTCTCCCATCCAAACACTAACCAGGGCCGACTCTGCTTCGTCTGAGCCATAGGCTTCCACGACTGTATCCGACTTTGGCTTTTCACAACTTTGAGGTTTTCCCGTTCCCCACCCCCACCTTACTTTACTTGCCCTTTGGGGGCTCTGGATAATTCAACTTTTATTTAAATTATTCCTTGGAATTGTTTTTCCTTATGAGTCTGTGCTGTTAATATTGGCCTACTCTAACTTGGATTGTGTGTTTTTCATTCTGTTGTAAGCCGCCTGGAGTCCTGCTTGCAGGGAAGGGCAGCCTAAAAATTGAAACAATAGATAGATGATGATGATGATGATTGATTGATAGATGATAGACAGACGGACGGACAGGACTGTTCATCAAGCAGAGTTCAACCATCCAAAGATTCCCTGTAATGAATAAGGAAGGGGGTTAACTAAGCTCCAAGGCATGGCCTGACTCATAAATACTTTTCATAATTCTGCCAGCACACGTACCACTAGTTCCGAACCTCAGCCACAACCCAAGGGTAAGAATAGAAGTGCAGAAATGGGGGAGAGGCCGTTGATCCCCGGGAGGCAAGAAACAGCGGGCTGCCTCACCCTGCAGAAAACTGGCAGCAGATATCAAACCAAACAAATGTTATTGTAATGGCTGGAACTGCTCCAATTGGGCAGGGACTCACTCTAAGACTTGACTTGAGAGCTGACGTGAAGTAGAGGTCAGAGTGCGGGACTAGACTCTGGGGGACTAATGTTCGAATCCCTGCTCTATCCTGGAAGCTTGCTGGGTGACCTCAGGCCAGTCACACACTTTCCATGTAACCTACCTCACAGGGTTGTTGTTGTTAGGGCTGCCTGCTTCAGGTTGGGAAACACCTGGAGATTTGGGGGGTGGAGCCTGATGAGGGTAGGCTTTGGGGAGGGGAGGGATTTCATTGGGGTGTACTCACAGAGTCCACCTTCCAAAGTGGCTATTTTCTCCAGGTGAACTGATATCTGTCACCTGGAAATCAGTTGCAAGCCCAGAACTCCAGCCACCACCTGGAAGTTGGCATCCCTAGTTGTTGTGAGGACAGACTGGAGAAGGGAAGAGTGCTGTAAGCCACTCTGGGTCCACACTGGGGAGAAAAGGGAGGTATAAATGAAGGGAAAAAACCAAACACCCTTTAGAGTTCCTGTCTCATCTCAAGAGCAAAAGCCCACCATCTAGCTCTTAAGAGGCCCCCAGGTTTAAGACTTCGTTGAAGAACAGTCTTTTGCTGGGGTGGGGGGATTCCATTTTTCTTCCCATGTCCTCAGGAATGTTCTACTGCCGGAGAACTGAATTCCCTCGATCAAAGCCCTTTGCAAGGCAGCTCGGTTCCACTCCAAGCCTTGCACAATGTAAACTCTGAGTTAGCCAGACCTGTTCTTACTCGTTAAGATAAACTTTGGTCAGCCACAGAGATAGCTGCCTGACAAATGTTTCATCCCTAATAACTATGTTATTTATTTAGAACGTTTATCAAACGTTTTTCTCCCAGGTCGAGAGGACTCAAAGAGTTTGCATCAGACTGAAAACATACAATCTCAAATTACAAAAATACCAAGTAAAAAGGAACACATCATTAGGGGGGAGATCATTAGTGGGGAAAATATATTAGCCCAGCTCCAGGGAATACTGTAGCTAAAAGGAAGACTCAACGCAGCCAATTAATGATGTACTGTCTCTGTGAATCCTGTTTATAACCACATTTGATTAATAGGTGGGGGACAATTTTAATGAGCGGAGCCGAGACTTAAGGAAACCCTCTACAAACTTTTTTCATTCTAGTGTACTAATGTGTTAAATGGAAATAAGACATTGTTTTTGTTTTATTAAGTTGTCCATTAACTTCTAACTGGGTTTATGAAGTTTTCTTTATTAAACTGCTTATTAAATGGGGTTTGTTGTTGACTTCATCATAAGTTAATTTATACTCTTATTTATTAAAAAGTTGTTTATTAAATTGTAACTAAGGTCTCAGCTGATTCATTGGCGGCAAAGGATTTTAATGAGCAGGAACGGCAAAATAAGAATCTGTTTTAGCTCTAGTGCAAGTGAAATCAATGGATTTAGACTGGAGTATCTCTGCATATGGGGGGCTGTGGTGGCTCAGTGGTTAAGACACTGAGCTGCAGACTGGAAGGTCGGTGGTTCAGCACTTTGAGATCCGAGTGCCACATGACGGAGTGAGCTCCCGTCTCTGGGCCCAGCTCCTGCCAACCTAGCAATTTGAAAGCAAGAAATTGCAAGTAGATAAATAGGTACCACTTCGGTGGGAAGGTAACAGCGTTCCGTGCAGCTCGGCATCTTTTCATGCCAGCCACATACCATGGAGGTACTAGTTTTTAACTGCGCATCTTCGGAGGGAAGCCTTGGGTTCGCCATGGGAGCGCTTCCCAGATGTTGCGATGTGATTGCACGGAAAATCCGCCTATCATCCGTCTCAGTAGCGTGGCTACTGCTCCGTGTGGCCGCAGCCAAAATTGTTGTAGGGGATGAGCTTCCCTGGGTCACTGCTCAGTTCTTCAAATACCGCCGTGAAACTCATCCCCCTACAACAAATTTTGTTAAGTCTTTAAGGCGCTACTGGAATCTTTTCTGCTGCTCCGGACAGACTAACGCAGCCACCCGTCTTCATTCTGTCAGCATGTAGATCAGGTGTAATTACGGGAGATCTCCAGGCGCCACCTGGAGTGTTTCTAGAAACTGCACTATAGATGTACCGGATTCGCTCCCCAAATATAGACTAAAATAGGAACGACCAATTAACCCTCCCCCAAAACTTTAATAAGTCCACCGTCCTTGGTGCTTCGGGACGAAGAAGTATATTTATTTATTTATTTTTCACATTTGTATCCCGCCCTCCCCAATGGGCTCAAGGCGGCTCACAAGGGCAAGGTAAACCCGAGCCATAATTCCGTCGTCCGCAGCCGCGGAAATTCCGCCTTCCCGAGGTTTTCCCCGCTGCCTCCCGACTCACCCCCTCCGAGGCGGAGTTTCCCAAAGCGCTCCCACGCGGCGCGGAGGAAGGGAAGGCAGCCCCGGACGGGCACCGCCTCCCGTTTGGCGGCTATATAACGCCGAGCGCGCCCAGCTGAGCGGCTTCGGGGAGCCGGGCAGGGGGAGAGCATTGGCGAGCGAGAGCGCGCCTGCCCATCCATCCGAGCCCAGCCACGCACCGCCGGCCTCTGTAAGTCCTTCTTCTCCCCTGGTGGATCTGTGCAGAACTTCCTCGGGGGGCTTCTGGTCTCTCCTTTCCCTCCACTCGTTCACCTGCCGCTTTCCACGTGTGCGGTCCCCCCGGTGACCTTGCAACCCGATCCCAGAAGCCTTCGGTAAACAGAGCGCGTGTGGGTAGTCGGCAGAAGGCAGTTTCATGTGCGACCCGTGGGCATGCAAGCAGTTCTGCGGGGGGCTCCCGTGGGCATTTGCTGCTTCATGCAAGACCTTGCGGGTGTCGCTTCCTAATAAAGGGTGCGCAGCTGCAACGACCGGCCCAAATTTTATGGATTCTTAATCGACATTGCCAATTATCAGCAATGCCACAGGATCGTCTCGCTTATGCCTATACTTTCTGTTGGCTGCTCTCTTGCTCTGAATTAGCCATTTAAATTACAAGAGGTTGCAAATCCCTGAATCTCTCTCAGCTTCGAGCCTCTTTGTGCTGCTGATGTTCTTGTTGGTGCCCATTCTCAGGCGCCCCGACCTCTTTCGTGTGTGAGCGCCCTGTTATGACTGCAGAGAAGTGGCTGAAACCAAATGTAGACTTTTTGCATTGTAGACCAGTTAAAACAGAAGAAGACTATATTTGATTTCTGCTGTAGCGATCTGGAGGTGGTTTGGAGCGGGGAAAGACGTCAGTGGGGTATAATGCTATAGAGTCCACCTTCCAAAGCAGCCATTTTCTCCAAGGGAACTCCTGGAGACCAGTTGTAATCCCAGAAGACTAGTGTTGCCAGCCTCCAGGTGGGGCCTGGGGACCTCCCGCTTTTACAACTGATCTCCAGCTGACAGAGATCAGCTCCCCTGAAGAAAATGGCTGCTTTGAAGGGTGGACTCTATGGCATTGTCCCATGCTGAGGCCCCTCCCCAAACCCTGCCCTCTCCTGGATCCACCCCCCCAAAGTCTCCAGGTATTTCCCAGCATGCCGGCAACCCTACAGAAGACTGCCAGCTGCCGCCTGGAGGTTGGCAACCCTAAACAGATCCTCCGGCCACCCCATTAAACCTGAGCAAGTGGAATGACCAGTTTTTTGTATTGCTGGAGGTAGCCGGGCTCTGTCGTGCCTTGGAGATCTTTCCTGTACAAACAAATAGTAAGAGGCCAGTGGGGCACCTTTAAGAGCAATAACATTTTATTCAAGGTGTGAGCTTTTGTATGCACGCTCACTTCGTCAGACAATGAAATGGAATCACAGATCGTACTTGTATATATACAGGGTTGCATGTTAAATTAGCATGCAAAATGGTGAAGATGTTTTTTAACAGGTAAAACGACTGATCATCTCAGTTTCTGGTTATCATCTGTTTGGGTTCAGCTGGGGTGGGGGGATAACATAGGTAATAAATACATCAGGAGGTTGATGTACCCTAAATTGTGAGAGTTCAGATCCAGTTGGTCAGCCGTGTTGGTCTGAAGCAGTACAACAAATGTAGAGTCCAGTGGCACCTTTAAGACCAACAAAGGTTTATTCAAGGTATGAACTTTTGTGTACACGCACACTTTATCAAATACGTATCTGACAAAGTGTGCGTGCATACAAAAGCTCATACCTTGAATAAACCTTTGTTGGTCTTAAAGGTGCCACTGGACTCTACATTTGTTGTGAGAATTCAGTCATTAGATCCCATCCATCTCCTTTCTAGCATGGAGGCAAACTTCGAAGCATTTTGCCTGTGTAGAGAATTTTTCTTGTCACCCCGAACAGCGAATTACATTCCAATCTACCATTCCACGTACTAAGAATCCCCAAAGAAGACAGCGCCTTGCACAGCCAGAGATTTGGATCTATTTGTGTTAACAACCAAATGAAAGGGCAACAGCAGCCATGCATAACTAGAGAGTGGTGCAATCTTACAGTTACAGATTATGCGGACATGTAAGGACTCGAGGAATGTGGATTTCTTGAAGTGTGGCTTCTGAGAACACTTCCTGTTAGATGCGGTGCCTCTTGCAAAGGAAAATGGGGAAGGGGGGTGGGCCGTCATGGGACAACCCCCCCCCAAAAAAAGAATCCTTCTCTCATCAGACTCCCAGATAACTTGAGTACCAAATGACCATGTTCCACAAACAAAAAACAGGAAGGAGAGAGGGAGAGAGAGAGATGCTACGTTCAAGCATGACACACTCCACACTCCGTTTAAGGCTGGTCTTCCAAAAAACTTCATGGAGGGGCATAAACTTTTTATGTGCGTCCAAAAAGATTTGAGGAGGCTGCCGCGTTTGAATTTTCGGCTGTCTTGAGGCGTTTTTGGATTCGAGTGAAATTATAAGAACTGCTTTTTTTCCCGATATGCTGAGGGTGTTTCCTAATGCAAGGGCATGCGTTCGACATTTGTTTCTCCTCCTAATTATATCAAGCTGTGTGGCAGTATTCCCTGTAAGCTGAGTTAGTGTGAGTTAGCTCATAGTTTTTTAGCTTCCGGCTCACACATTTTTCTCTTAGCTCAGGAAGGATGGCTCCAGAGCAAACTAATTTATGCAGTAGCCAAATCGCGCACTCATAACTTCAATGCCAGCAGCTCACAAAGTAGAATTTTTGCTCACAAGACTCCACAGCTTAGAGGGAACATTGCTGTGTGGAGATGGCACCCACCCACCGTTTGACAAATGAGGGCTTTCCTTCTTAGTCATTCATGGTGCAATAAACCTTCTCCTTGGCCTTGTTTGAGCCTTTCCTTAATTCTCTAGTGGAAATCAGTGTGACATAATATTGGGAGAGTGAATGGAGAGGTCTCAGGCTTACTTTGACATATTTATATTACTTTACAACTGTTGACCTTATAACCTTGGCTTGTTATTTAATTCTGTTTTTGCATATCTTAAAGCATCTTCATCATGTCACATGTTAATTTGCTGTTCAGCCTGTCTATAAGTTCGAACCTTACCTCCCATTCCATTGTGTTGGGAAAAGCATGCCTTGCACACGAAAGCTCATACCTTGAAAAAAACTTTTGTTTGTCTTAAAGGCGCCACTGGACTCTAAATTTGTTCTATAATATAGGGTTGACAGCTCTGGAGATTTTTTGGGGGGTGGAGCCTGAGGAAGGCAGGTTTTGGGGAGGGGAGGGACCCCAATGGGATATAATGTGTTGGGTGATAGTGAGATATTGAAAAAAATGGTATTTAGCAGAGATAAGATAGTCCAGCAGAGCCAGAGTGAAATAATTCAGACTGAGAGTCCCATGTGTGATTAAAATATAAAGTTTTTACTAAATTCTAGCACGGGAAAAGGGTAACTGGGATGAAAATAACAACAGAGCATAATCGGCTACATCCTTACACTACAAAGACAAAACTAGAAGAGAGATTATGGCTGCTCTTCTTCCTTTTCTTCAGAACACACACAAAGACCGGAAGAGAAGCCATAACATGGTAATACACCTTGACACTTTAGTCCCAATCAAATCCCTAGATCAGGGAGAAAATTCCCGGGCTTTCCACATCTAAAGAACATTGGTTACACGAGAAACATGTGACTTCCTGTGAGTAACATAAACAAACATTTAACCCCAGACATACTGAGTGTTTTCAACTTGTAATACCCAACATAATGCCATACAGTCCACCTTCCAAAGTGGCCTTTTTCTCCAGGGGGAACTGGTCTCTGTCGCCAGGAGATCAGTTCTAATCCCGGGAGATCTCCAGCCGACACCTGGAGGTTGGAACAAAAGTCAGAGACACGGATGAAGTGAATACAAACAAAAGGGGAAATCCTCCGTGTGACTCATGAACTTGAATCTTTCCTTAGTTGCACAATTTATTTAAATGGATTTCAGGATTTGTTTTGAGATTGTCTTGTGTGTTTGTTATTGCTGATTATGTAAATAATTTGTAAGCATTGTGTTTAGTGTCCTTTGAGTATTTTTGGAGGTTTAATTATACGGGGGATTTTTCCTTTCTTTGGTAAACATCTGGAGTTTGGCAACCCTAGGCATAAAAAGGAGCTAACTTTGGATTGTACGTTTGGAACGTTTTGGGGGTTTATTGCTTTTTGTTCATAGTTTGTAATTCACAGGCTGTGGGCTTTTATTTTTATTTTATTTTTTTTTGCCTCAACAGAGTATGTTTTCAAAATATTTCTTTTAAAAAACCCAAACCTGCAATTCTTTGCATATTTACTTGGGAGAAAGCCTGACTGAATGCAGTGGGGTTTTCTTCCATATAAACATGCATAGGATTGAGAGGCATGTTAAGTTCTACAGGTAGTCTAGAATGCAGTTTATGAAAGGCAGCTCTTCAGATCATACAACCAGGGTAGCCAGCATCAAGTCGGAAGCTGGAGATCTCCTGGTATCTCCAGACAATAGAGATCAATTCCCCTGGAGAAAATGGCCGCTTTGGAGGGTGGACTCTATGGCATTGTACCCTGCTGAGGCCCCTCCCCTCCCCAAGCCCCGCCCTTCCCAGGCCCCACCCCCAAAATCTCCAGCTATTTCCCAACCCAGAGCTGGTAACCCTGCATACAACCCTTTCCCATATTTTTTGATAGTATTCCAGGCAAGGGAGATTATAGAGCCGTTATTCGTGAAGTGTAACTCACGAGGCACACACCTCCCTCGAGAAGCCAGAATGCCAAGACTTCCTAGTTTCCTGTCACCACTAAACAAACAAAAGGATGGTTTAAAATAGCCCCACACCATTCCTTGTGACTGTTAACAAGACCAAGGCAGCTGTCACTCACATGTCCCAGAACTGTTTGTTCATTCCAAATAGCACTGCGCTTTTCCAGCCTTACTGGGAATGCTGCAAAAAAAATATGTTTTCACTGGGTTCAGCAAGGTCAGTTGTCATCCAGAGTTCACTGTCACTTTTGCACAGGGGTTTGCACAGGAGCCAGTGTGACGGAGTGGTTAAAAGGTCAGACAAGGATCTGGGAGACCTGGGTTCGAATCCTCACTCAGCCATGGAAACTTTCTGGGTGACCCTGGGAGAAAGATAGATCCAGGTGGGTAGCTGTGTTGGTCTGAAGCAGCAGAACAAAGTTTGAGTCCAGGGGGGCACCTTTAAGACCAACAAAGTTTTATTCTGGGTATAAGCTTCCGTGTGCATGCCCACTTCTTCAGGTACATTGAAAGAGAAGTCACCAATCATTACATATAGGTAGAGGGTGAGGAGGTTGTTGCCAGGAAGGACCAATTAGAGTCAAGATGCATGAGTAACTGAGTAGTAAATATAGCTGAAGACTGGATGGAGGCGATTGGTGAGACCTGTCAATTGCAGCAAATTTCCCGGCAACGCTCTCCTCACCCTCTACCGATACGTGATGGTTGGTGACTTCTCTTTCAGTGTATCTGAAGCAGTGTGCCTGCACACGGAAGCTTATACCCAGAATAAAACTTTGTTGGTCTTAAAGGTGACACTGGACTCAAAACTCTGTCCTGGGTGAAAGAGTAACTCTCTTTCAGCCTTACCCTACCTCGCAGGGTTGTTGTGTTGAGGAGGAAATGGAGAATGCCAGAATGTTACCAGACAGATTGATGCCACTTCTGGTTTGCACTCAGAGACAGAGATGCGTAGGGTTGCCAGGTCCGCCCTGGCCACCAGCAGGGGATGGAGGGTAAGGTGGCCAGATCCAATGCCATACAGAGTCCACCCTCCAAAGCATCCATTTCCACCTGGGGAACTGATCTCTGTAGTCTGAAGAAGAGCTGTAATTCTGGGGGGATCATCGGGTCCCACCTGGAGGCTGGCACCCCTATGCGAAGGCGTGGAAAGAATCAGAAAAACAGGGGGGGGGAAGGGGAGTTTTTAAACTTTTCCGGTAGAAAAATTGCAAATTTGGGGGGAGTACTGGGGGGGGGAAACCCTCATGTGAAGTATTTTCTCTTTGAGAATGAGTGACATGCTTTTAAAGACAAGGTGGGCATGCTGTCGACATAATACAGCTCTTAGATCCAAGTTGCGTTTCTGCAAAAGGATATCTAATGGGAAGTGCCAAGAGAGGACGTGATCACCGCAAACAAGTTGCGTTCGTGCTCATTGTTGGCCAATCTCTGTGGAATCAGTGTTGGTCATGCTGTCTGGAAATGCAGCTTAGAAAGGAGCAAGAGTCCAGTAGCACCTCGAAGACTAACGAAAATTGTGGCTGGTTAGGAGCTTTCCTGAGTCAAGCATGACGAAAGTTCATCCCCTGCCACATATTTTGTTAGTCGTTAAGGTGCTACCGGACTCTTGCTCTTTTCTACTGCCACAGACAGACTAACACGGCCACCCATCTGAATGCAGCTTAGGAATTCCCCCACCACCACCCCTTCTTTGAGTGGATGGGAACACGGCTCTTCTCTTGTTATCCTTTTTCAGACATCCACTGCAGCCCGCTCTGAGGGCAGAAATAGCCTCCTCTCGCTTGTGGAAACACTGCCAAATTAATATCAATTACCAGTTTGTAGAAACTGAAAGTAGAGTTGATGAATCTGCCCTGTCCTTACCCAAGGGCAGTCATGCCAAGCTCATGGCAACAAAAACAACCGCGCATCTTGTGACAAACAGATTTAAAATGGCATAGTGAGATTTTAGGAACTAAATCCCATACAGAAGGAGGAGAAGGAGATTGGATTTATACCCTGCCCTTCACTACCCAAAGGAGTTTCAGAGCGGCTTACAAACACCTTTCCCTTCCCCTCCCCACAACAGACACCCTGTGAGGTAGGTGGGGCTGAGAGAGCTCTGACAGAAACTGCTCTTTTTCAAGAACAGCTCTGAGAGAACTATGTCTTGCCCAAGGTCATCCCCCAGCTGCAAGTGGAGGAGTGGGGAATCAAACCCGGTTCTCCCAGATTAGAGTCCGCACACTTAACCACTACACCAAACTGGCTCTATGATGATCCATTATTGCCCACACTGAGGAAATATAAATAGAGGGTTGCCAGCTCTGGGTTGGGGGATTCCTGGAGATTTGGGGACAGAACCTGGAAAGGGGAGAGGGATTTCAGTTGGGATGGGATGCCATAGAATCCAAACTCCAAAGCGGCCATTTTCTCCAGGGAAACTGATCTGTGTCATATGGAGGTCAGTTGTAATTCTGGGAGAACTCCAAGCCCCCGCCTGGATGTTGGCAGCTCGAAGCAAACAGCAGAGTCAGAAGGCTAAAACCGAGAGGCTGAGGATGTGAACTTTTTGTGACAGACTCTATAATTGGTGACAAGACAGACTTTCTAGCATTTTCCCCTCTGGGAAGTAGGGTTGCCAGCTCTAGATTGGGAAATACCTGGAGATTTGGGGCTTGGATCCTGAGGAGGTCAGGGTTTGAGGAGGGGAGTTATGCTAATGAGTTATGCTAATGAGCTCCTGCACTTCTTTTCCTACGAAATGACCCCTGGACTGGCTCAAGGTCATGCAGTGAGCTTCCATGGCTGGGTGTGGATTCAAACCTGAGTCTCCAAGATCTAAACCTAGGGTTCAGAAATTTCTGGAACTATGGGGTGGAGCCTGGAGATGGCAGGATTCGGGGAGGGGAGGGACCTCGGCAAGATTTTCTCCAGCAGAACTGATCTCTGTTGTCCTTTGATCACTTGTAACTTCAGGAGAGCTCCAGGCCTAACCTGGAGGTCGCCACCCTATCATAGCCCAGCATTCTAACCACAACACCAAACTGTGATAATATATGTGGAGTGTGTTGATTGGTTTAAAGGCGCTATAGAAATGTGCTCAGAATGGCTATCTAAGCCTCTGGGTGAAAATGTTCTTGATTCCCCCAACTGGCCCAGCAGCTTCAGGAGACTAACCTTTTCTCTTCCGTGTCACATTTGGCTGCTAGATTATTTGTGTGTCTGTTTTCTGAATGTGAGTCCCAGGGCCTGACAACTTTTTAATGTAATTTACAGGCTCAAAGAAGGAAGATGATAAAAACGATGCGCTTTTTCCACAGCAGTCCTATCAAGCAGAGTCCCAGCAATAAAGATCTCAGGAGGGGAAGCGAGACCACACCAAGGCCCTCCACGTCCTCCGAATCGGAACCTGACACCGCGTCGATTGAATCCTCGGCAGACGAGACTCAGCCCAAAGGCAACATGATAACTCACATCCAGAGAGAGGCTCCGGGCCTGCCAAACTCTCCCTCAGAAATCGGTGGGAAGGGAACCTCAGGCCCTGAGCCGAACAAACATAAAGGAATTAAAGGCAAAATAATCAATGCCTTGTCTCCCATTTCAGTTGGAAAAGCTAAAATAAAATACAAGAAGAAGAACAGTAAACAGGAAGAAAGCAAGCCCATCACAGGTACTGTTTAAACCGTAAGCCTATCCTGTGGAGAAGGGGAATTATGCTTAAACACATGGCTGCTGCTGAAAATGGCAGCCCCGTGTTGCCTTTCCTTTCTTCTGTAATAAGTAAAGGTAAAGGTTCCCTTGCTCGAAAGCCAGTCGAATCCGACTCTAGGGTTGCGGTGCTCATCTCCGTTTCAAAGCCGAAGAGCCAGCGCTGTCCAAAGACATTTCCGTGGTCATGTGGCCGGCATGACTAAACACCAATGTGCACGGAACGCATATGTCCTGCAGCTATTACATCAGGCATTTCCTTAGCAGCAGCCAATGCTGATGAGTAGGGGAAGGAAAAACAGCACAGTAACATGAACTAAGCAGTACTGAACACTTTGAAGTGGAAGGGAGGGCTGACATGGGCTGCCATTTATAGAGGTAGCCTTACGTCTCCTTGTAATATTTAGTTTTGCCCTGTACAGTGGTTTTGGTGGGATACAATGCTTTGGTAGTCCCTGGAACTGGAAACAAGCTTGTTTTTGTGGCTGCCGGTTATACTGTGCAAACCAACGTGATCTCCCAGCAAACAGTTGGTGTGGGGTTAAGTTATTAGGGAGGGGCCATGGCTCAGTAGTAGTTTGTTTTCTGCACACTTGGTATGCAGGAAGTCCCAAGTTCAAACTCCAGCAACTCCAGTTAAAGGATCAGACAGTAGGTGACGTGAAAGACCTCTGCTTAAGACCTTGGAGAGCTGCTTCCCGTCAGAGTAGACAATACTGACCTTATATTTTTAAGATAAACTTTGTTGAATCAAGTAAAAGTTTTACAATAAGAGCTTAGGAAGTATATATACCAGATATTTAAAAAACAAACATTGAGATGACATATAAAAGCATAGGAGTAAAAAGTATACTAAGGCCCCGTTCACACGGAGAATTTGCCCTGCGAGAGGGACGGCTTGCCTGCGGATTAAATGGGCGCGATCATACCTCAACATCTGGGAAGCGTGGCACTCCCGTCTCCAACCTGTCACTTTGGCCTGAAAAGCGGAGTTAAAAGATACTGGGAACCATGCAGTATTTTCCGGAAAACGCGCGGCGCATGGGGACATCTGATCGGGAAGCGCTGGTAGCCCATCGCAGCCAGTGCCCGTCGGCGTCCCACGCATGCGCACAAACGCGTTACTGCCTTTTTGCCTCGCTTCGTGTGATCGGCTGCCAAAGGCCTGAGCACGGAGCCTCAGGGGACGGTCTGATCGCATTACCGCGTGTCATTTTGCTCCGGCTCTAAAAGCCTCCCTTCCCCTGCGGATTATCCCGCTCGTGTGACCGGGGCCTAAATATAATAATTTTGACAAGTATAGCTAAATAACAACAGAATTACTAAACTATAATTAACTACCTAACTGTATTATAATATTAGGGACTGATTGGAAGAAGTGAAATGGAAGAGACATTATTTACCATAAATTCAATTATTGGATAACTTATTTCAACAGAATTAGAAACATATTGATCTGACTCGATCTGCGTCTGTTGGTCCAAAGTTTTTCCCATTAGAAATATATCCCATATCTTCTTGTACCAATCTGATAACAAAGGGAGTTTCTTGCTTTTCCATGCTGTTGCAATAACAAGGCAGGCTACACTACATAATAAAGCTATTAACTGGAGAGCCAGTTTGGTGTAGTGGTTAAGTGTGCGGACTCTAATCTGGGAGAACCGGGTTTGATTCCCCACTCCTCCACTTGCACCTGCTGATGTGACCTTGGGTCAGTCACAAGCTCTGGCACAGCTGTCCTCGAAAAAGAGCAGCTTGTGTCAGAGTTCTCTCAGCCCCACCAACCTCACAGGGTGTCTGTTGTGGGGAGGGGAAGGGAAAGGAGTTTGTAAGCCGCTCTGAGACTCCAAGTGAAGGGCGGGGGATAAATCCAATCTCTTCTCTTCTTCTTCTTAAATTATGTCTAAATAGGGGTATATCTGTATTTTGAAATACATTTAGCAGCATGACTTCCGGCTTAAGAGGAATAAAATAATTTGTGATCCTAAATATCTGGGCTTGAATTAGTTGCCAAAATGATTGCATATGCTTACAAGACCACCAAGTGTGAAAATAAGATCCAAGTCCCCACACTGCTTCCAGCGGGTTGGTTGCTGATTAGGATTTATATGATACATTTTCTCTGGTGTGAGATACCATCTTGTAAGAAGAAGAAAAAGAAGAGTTTGGATTTATACCCCGCCCTTCACTACCCAAAGGAGTCTCAGAGCAGCTTACAATCTCCTTTCCCTTCCCTTCCCCACAACAGACACCCTGACCTCGATGGGCCAGTGGGCTGATTCAGTAAAAGGCAGCTTTGTTTGTGTGTTATTGTCACTAAATATTTTCACTTTGTCTTGCCAGTCGACCAGATCAGAGAGCTCATTCGCGAGAAACAGTTATTTGAAGCCGGCCAGCATCTCCTCATGATGGAGAAAGAGTCTTCTGATGAGCAGAGCGAAGAAGGAAAAGGGGCGGATCGGCGTGAGATCGAAGCGGTCTATGGTCTTTTGAAGCACGAGGCCCTCCGCATCGTAAAGACTTCTGTCAGAATAGCGCCCACGAATCCGGAATTACTTCAGAACACTGTGAGAGCCATCACGGAACAAGTGAAGGAAGATGAGAGAACCGCGTTAGAAGAGGCATCGGGGAAAAGTTTGAGTGCCCGGCCCAGGCAATGGAAGGAAGATTGGAAGAGGACAATCCAGGAGTCCGTTGCCGAGCGCATGCAGGTGCCTCCCTTCGATGGTGTCGAAGGCCTCTCTGCGACGGCTCACAGCTTCCTGCACATGGGGAAGGCGATGAAGGACGATCTCATCACGGTGGTGCAGCACGTCAAGCCCCATTACTCCAGTGACTTCCAAGTCTGCTGCGTTTACGCCGAGTGTTACTACCGGTGTTTCTCTTCCCAGCTGGAGGCGATTGCTCAGTTTGAACTGGGCAGCAGGGACAATGCCCTCCTCCTCACCTGGGTGCAGAACATTTATCCAAAGTAAGTATTTTTATTGATGCATTTAGACTCCCGTTTCCCCAGCTGGGATGCAAAGTGGTGGTGTGAGCAGTGTTCCCTCTAAGCTGAGTTTGTGTGAGCTAGCTCACAGCTTTTTAGCCTCCAGCTCACACATTTTGGTCTTAGCTCAGGAAGGAGGGCTCCAGAGCCAACTAAGTTATGCAGCAGCCAAGTCGCTCGCTCACAATTTTAGTGCCAGTAGCTCACAAAGTAGAATTTTTGCTCACAAGACTCCACAGCTTAGAGGGAACATTGGGTGTGAGTGGGGTTTTTTTAAGCCTTTCCCCATATTGTTTTCCAGAACTGAAATAACCCTGTAAGAGTGTTTATTTTTAATTTTATTTTAACCTTCAACTTTATATCCCGCTCGAATCCTCTTTTCACAGAGGGTCTCAGAGCGGCTTACAATTGGTGCTAATCACACAAGTTTTTCCCTAACTAGGGCCACAGAGTTGTATAGGGTAGGGTTACCTATCAGCACCCTTGTGGTGGTGGTTGGGATGTTCGTTCCTCGGTTTTTCCCCTACTGGGGCAAACAGTTGTAGGACCATGAGGTTATTTCACATCAGGAAAAAGGCATGGAGGGGATTTAAACCTCCCCTCCGTAATAGTCCCATTCTACAGCCAGTTTGGTGTAGCAGTTAAGAGTTGAACTCTTAATACGTGAGCAGTTCCTGGCAGCTGTCTGCAGAAAACGACTTTCGAAATCCTCTTGCCGTTTTGCCAGCTCGTATGAAACACTGTACTTGCATTCCCCCTGTGGAATTTGTCAGTATCAATTCATCCAGGCTGTGAACAAGCCAAGAAATATTAAATTAAAAAAAAACTGGCTATAAGGTTTGGGTGGTTGTCAAATTTCATCCAAGTATTCTCTCACGCTTGTGGTTGACCTACTTTCACATCTGCTTTTCATTGGGTTTCTTTTGAAATCGGAATAAGAATCGGGCAAATGAGCCCATTGAATGGACATGGCTGACGCGTGCTTCTTTCCCCCCATTTCAGTGAAATAAAAAAGCATCCTGTCTTGGAGAAAGAGCTGGAAGAAGCCAGCCTAGGAAGCCTTTTGCCATTAGAACAGATCAAACCTCTCGAAGAGTCTTACTTAATTAACGAGTCGGTAAGTAACCTAGCAGTTCGAAAGCAGGAAATTGCAAGTAGATAAATAGGTACCACTTCAGTGGGAAGGTAACAGCGCTCCGTGCGCCTTGGTGTTTAGTCATGCCGGCCACATGACCACGGAAACGTCTTCGGACAGCGCTGGCTCTTCGGCTTGGAAACGGAGATGAGCACCGCAACCCTAGAGTCGGATTCGACTGGCTTTCGAGCAAGGGAACCTTTACCTTTACCTTTAAGTATAGAATAGATCTTGCAGTGAATGACAGGCTATTCAGCTACATCATTTTTTTCCCTTGTTAATTCGTCACGTTTTAAAATCGTATCTTTTCACCAAGGAGCTCAGGTAGGGTTGTCAGCTCAGGGCTGGGAAATACCTGGAAATTTGGGGGGTGGAGCCTGAGGAGGGCGAGGTTTGGGGAGAGGAGGAGCTTCAGTGGGGTACAATGCCAGAGAATCCACCTTCCAAAGCGGCCATTTTCTCCAGGGGAGCTGATCTCTGTTGCCGGAACATCAGTTATAATAGTGGGAGATCTCCAGCCACCGCCTGGAAGCTGGCAACCCTAAGCTCAGGGCTGCGTATGTAGACATTGTCTCCCTCTTTCTCATTTTATCCTCGCAACAACCCAATGGGATAGGCACATCTGAGAGAATGTGGATTGGCCTCAAGATTACCTGAGTATGCTTCATACCTAGGTGGGGAATTGAACCCAGGTCTCGCCAATCCCCGACTTTCACCACTATATCCCACTGGCTCTCTTGTGCATCTCTCTATAGGGGACTTTCCCATTTATCTGAAATTCTGATCAATCAAATATTTTGAATAAAACGTAAGAATGTAAGAATTAAGGTACTTTGGTAGGTCTGAGGGCCCCACTAGAGTTTGGCGTAGCCATTTTGGTGTAGTGGTTAAGAGCGTTGACTCTGATCTGGGAGAGCTGGGTTTGATTCCCTACTCCTCCACATGCAGCTGCTGGTGTGACCTTGGGTCAGTCACAAGTTCTCTCGGAGCAGTTCTTGAAAGAGCTCTCTAAGCCCCACCTACCTCACAGGGTGTCTGTTGTGGGGAGGGGAAGGGGAAGGGGTCGTAAGCTGCTCTGAGACTCCTTCGGGTAGTGAAGGGCAGGGTATAAATCCAATCTCTTCTTTTTCTTCTTAGACATTCCCTGAAATAATCTATAGCTTTGATGGCCCCACTAGACCTTCCCCAGAAATCGGTCCTGTTGCCAAACCACTTTTATTGTTATGAATTTTCTCCTAACGTTCAGCCAAAATCTGCAATCCTCTGACTTAAGCCCTATATATCAACCCTTGCTTTCTGGAGCAGCAGAGCATGAGGGTCAGATCCACCATGGATGGAACAGAGGGTGACTTTTGTTGATACCCTTCCAGATCTCTTGACTGGCACATCATGCTGATCTTCATGGGTCCCCTGTCCCCCAGGAGTGGTGTTTCAGGAGAGGGCATTTGGGGCTGTATCAGGAGGTAGGCAGATGAGGAAATCATACTCCTCCCCTCGCTCTTTTTCTACGAAACGACCCTGCATTTGATGGAAATCTCTTCCATCCATGGAAATCCTCTGGTGGATCAAAGCCTAAGTAGTTGTCCTCTTCTGTGGTACGGCCCTTCAAGTATTTGAAGAGTGATATCACACCAATTAGTTTCTGAATCCAATTCAACAGTTAACTTTTAAAGCCTATATAGTCTGGGACCCTCATACCTATGCGACTGCTTCTCCTGTTACAATCTGCTGTGGCCCCTTCAGTCATCTTCTCAGGGCCTTTTCCATGAGCCCAACCCCAAGATGGTACGGTTAGCTGTTACCAGGGAAAGGGCTTTCTCACTTATGGCCCCTACCCTGTGGAATACACTCTCTGATGACACCGTGGCCTGTGGGACTTGCTTAGTTTCCAGGGGGGTTGCAAAGCCAGGTTGTTCGGGTGGGCCTTGGGAGGTTAACCAGATGTTCTGAGTTCTTTTGATAGTGGTATGGTGCTGAGTCATGTACCTTGTTTGTAACTGTTTTAATTATTGTTTATGATTATGTTATGATTGTATTTTGCTTTAAATTTTGTGTGGTTTTAAGAATGTTTTGACCCAACCTGAGCCTGCATGTGGGGGTGTGTGGGATAAAAGCCAAACAAAATTTAAAAAATAAATATATAAAATAATAAAGAAATCTGATTTCTGTTGGTTGTTACCTTATTTATTATGATGTTGTTTAGGTGTGGTTAAGTCACCAGGAGATCCCTTGAGTGAGTGGCGACTAAAAAATAAAATAAAATCAATAATAAACAAAATCCCCTCTCAGTCTTCTGTTCTCCAGGCTAGACTTACCCAGTTTTTCAGACTGAATCTCGGTTGCCCTCTTTTGAACTAGCTCCAGTTTGTCTACTTGTTTAGTTGATAGACGGGGAGGAAAGCTTCAGGACTGGCTGATGGCGTCAGAGCATTGCCCTGTAACTCCAGCTGCTGCTTATCTCTTCGTTGTTGTTTACTCCTTATTCTGTCAAGGAATCTCTTAAGCGCTGCCTGGCCAGATGTTTGCAAATGGAAGTCACAAGGTGGAGACAGGGCAGGGAACCTGAGAAGTTGGATGGGCATTTTCACAGTGAACTGTCAATCGACGCCATTCAGGTAATAAACAGTGCTATCTATCTATCATCTGTCCCTCATGAGAGGAAGGGAAGGCAAATGTAAGCCACTCTTGAGACACCTTCGGGTAGTGAAAAGCAGGGTATAAAAAAACGACTCTTCTTCCTTTTCCTCTTCTTCCTATCTCTCTCTCTGTCTTTCTTCTTCCTCTTCTTCCTCTCTCTCTCTCTCTCTCTCTCTCTCTCTCTCTCTCTTTCTTTTATCTATCACCCTTCCTCCTATCACCTATCTGCCTTCTAACATCTATCTTGTTTCTAGCTATCCTTAAATAAATATTTAGGCACGTAACAGTATGCCTTAAACATTTGAATCACACGTGTGTAATTATGCCTTTGGTGGATTTTAAAACTATTTAAGTGTTTTAGTGACTCATTTTTTTAAAAAAATGTTGCTAGCCCTCAGTGGTCAGTCCAGGAAAATGGAAGATGCTTCTGGGGTCTGGATGGGTGGAACTGCAAGTCCTGGTTTCAGACTTCAGGACTGTTCCATGTTAATACATGTAGGTTCTGGTAACATGGGGAGGGGCTGTGGCTCAGTGGTAGAGCATACACTTGGCACACAGAAGGTCCCAGGTTCAATCCCCTGGCATCTCCAGTTAAAGAATTTGGCAGTAGGTGATGTGAAAGACCCCCCCGCCTGAGACCCTAGAGAGCTGCTGCCCATCTGAGTAGACAGTACTGACTTTGATGGGTCAAGGGTCTGATTCAGTATAAGGCAGCATCATGTGCATGTAAAACATCACCCAATCATAGCCAAGAAGTCTTGTTATTTGAGAGTTAGAAATGGATATTCGAATGCCACTCTGTACCAAGTCAGATTTTCAGTCCCTCTAGTTGAGCATCCTCTAGTCTGACTTGCAAATGCACCCACCACCTGAGAGCCTTTTAACTGGAGAAAGCAGGAATTGAAACTGTGCCCTGTCTTGTCTCATTGCAACTGGTAGGACGGAACATGCCCAACGTTGGGGCCATAATGTTTGGAATGCAGTCTCACAAACAATGTGGTCTGAGGGAACACCACCCATGAGAGGTTAGGAATTCTGTTCTGACCACAAGGTTGGGTGGTCAGGGCGCAGCAGCGGGGTGAGATGTATAATCCTAGCATAAGAACATAAGTAGAGCCATGATGGTTCAGACCAAAGAGAGAAACCATGGCTCAGTAGCAGAGCATCCGCTTGGCATGCAGAAGGTCCCAAGTTGGCATCTCCACTTAGAAAAGGACCAGGCAGTAGGTGATGTGAAAGACCTCAGCCTGAGACCCTGGAGAGCCACTGCCAGTCTGAGTAGACAATACTGACTTCAGTGGACCAAGGGTCTGATTCAGTGTAAGGCAGCTTCATGCGTGTTCATATAATCATGTGCTCAAAGCAGGGGTCATTTCGTAGAAAAAGAGGTGCAGGAGCTCATTAGCATAACTTGTTTGCATATGCCACACCCCCTGGCATCACTGGAAGCGTGTCAGAAGGTAACACCCACCGCTCAGGCTCCACTGGACTGTTTTGGATTGCTAGGAGAGCTTGTACCTGAAGGTGGGCCGGGGGGGGGGGCTCTGCAACTTACCTCGCCCAACTGAGGGCTGCTGGGAGCAGGGGGCGGGGCTTGTTGCATGTGCCCGCCCCCTGGGCTCCTTACTGCCGGAGCTCTGCTCCTGTGCGCTCCTGCAGGAAATGACCCCTGGTTCAAAGTCTCATCGAGTCCAGCATTCGGTTCACACGGTGGCCAGCCAGCTGCCTGTAGGAAGCACACATGCAGGATGACTGTAGCAGCATCCTCCCGCCTGTGCTTCCCTGGCAACTGATCTAGAGAGGCATACAGCCTCTGGTACTGGAGGGAGTTGATGTCCATCATGACTAGTAGCCATTGATGGCCCCATCCTCCATGACTCTGTCCAAGCTAGCCAAATGGTAGACCCTAGGATATTACTGAGGATTCACAACGTGATGTATTTGTGTTTTAGGCTGTGTACGGAGGACAAAAGCGAGCAAAAGACATCACGCCGGACCTGGGCAGGCAAATCGCACCATTGCTTCTGGTGGAGCTCTTGACCTTCCTGCAAAGGTAGGATAGTAAGCTCTTGGCTACATACATTTCTCCTCTCTGCAAGCTTTTCTTCCTGGGCACGCCTTCTGATTGTTCTTTCTCCTCCTTTGGTGTCTTTGCAGTTACAAGAAGGAACTGGAACGCTTCATTAAGGAGAACAAACAGCACCAGTATTTCGAGGCGACAGTCATTGGGAATATCAACAACTGCCTGAGTTTTCGGTAAGAAGACAGGAATCGTTTGACCAACGCTTAGCGTTTATATGGCACTTTTGGTGTTCAAAGCACCTTATGTACTTTATCATCAACTCACTGTCAATGCTCCCTCTAAGCTGTGGAGTCTTGTGAGCAAAAAGTCTACTTTGTGAGCTACTGGCATTGAAGTTGTGAGCCAGTGATTTGGCTGCTGCATAAATTAGCTTGCTCTGGAGCCAGTTTGGTGTAGTGGTTAAGTGCGCAGACTCCAATCTGGGAGAACCGGGTTTGATTCCCCACTCCTCCACTTGCACCTGGCTGGATGACCTTGGGCAAGCCATAGTTCTGATAAGAGCTGTCCTTGAAAAAGAGCAGTTTCTGTCAAGAGCTCTCTCAGCCCCACCCACCTCACAGGGTGTCTGTTGTGGGGAGGGGAAGGGAAAGGAGTTTGTAAGCCGCTCTGAGACACCTTTGGGGAGTGAAGGGCGGGGTATGAATCCAATCTCCTCTCCTCTCCTATTCCTCCTCCTCCTTCCTGAGCAAAGAGAAAAATGTGTGAGCTGAAGGCTAAAAAACTGTGAGCTAGCTCACACTAACTCAGCTTAGAGGGAACACTGCTCACTGTTACAGATTAGAGGAGGCTGAGGCTGAAAGAGGGATTTGCCTACAGTGACTCAGTCAAATGCCCAGAATCCTCTTCTGTTTTGCCTTAGGCAATCACAACTGTAGTTGAACTCTTCAAAATGATTCACCCACGGTGAACTCCAGTTCCCAGCAGGCAGAAAGTTTAACCAGTGCAGTTGTTTATATAGTGGCCTGACAAGCCATGGCCAGATGGAGTGAAGCTGCAACACCATTGCATGATAACAAAATCATTTTTCTTCCAAAAAAAAATACTGGCTACCACTTCTACCCTAAAATCCAGGGACCTTTTGTTAGCAAAAGCCAGTGTGGTCCAGTGGATAAAGCTCAAATTCTCACAGCCATAAATCTCACTGAATAACCTCGGACCAGTCATCCTTTGTCAGCAAGACCCACCTCTCAGGGTTGTTGTGAGGGGGGGAAAGGACAACTCCATGTATCTTAACTCTGAATACTTTGGGGCAAGAACAGAATACCCATTTAATAAATAAATACAATAGGGTTACCACAATGTTCTCTCTAAGCTGTGGAGTCTTGTGAGCAAAAATTCAACTTTGTGAGCTACTGGCATTCAAGTCGTGAGCGAGCAATTTGCCCACTGCATAAATTAGTTTGCTCTGGAGCCCTCCTTCCTGAGCTAAGAAAAAAATGTGTGAGCCGGAGGGTAAAAAACTGTGAGCTAGCTCACACTAACTCAGCTTAGAGGGAACACTTTTTAGAGGACATGACCTCTTTTTTTGGTGTCTATCCTCTTTTGGGCTCTTCTTTAAAAACTGGTGAAAATGTCCTCTTTTTTGGGGTTGGACGGATAGGAATGTCTCTGGTTAGTAGCAGTTATCACAGCTTAAGTAGCAGGGGTATTTAAAATGAGATTTGCCATAGTGATCACTTGAAGTGACATAGGAGACGCTGTAGCATTTTGGGAGGGGGGGGAAATTTGCAGCCTAGCAACCTAAAGGATCGGGCAGCTTCATACATTCAACATCACTGTTATTTGGTGGGCTGTCTCCTCATTCCAGAATCCACACTGAAGAAAACACGATGCCGGGTCAGGATGATGTCAAACAACAGATTTTTACTGTACTTAATGAAATTCAAGACGCAGGATTCAGCGTGCTCCTTCAAGGCCTGTTTCAAGAGCTGCAGGTAAGTGCTAGAGCACTCCCCCTCCCCACCATGGCTTCCGTTTTCTCCTCCTCTCTCTATCCCGTGCACCCCTGGGAGTGGGCAGATCAGTGGAATGGACCCATTCCCTTCCCCCTAATATGAACATGAAATCCATCTATCACGCCTTTGTCCTGCTCTTCCTCTGTGGTGCTCAGGGTGGCCGTAGTGGGCCTCCCCAGCTCCGTTTTCATCCTGAAGACAACCTTGTGAGGTAGAGTAGGCTGAGGGGGCCTGGCTGGCCCCAGGTTAACAATTTGGATTCACGGTTGGGTGGTTAACAAGTGGGATTCGTTATTCGAACCTGGGCCTTCCCAGTCCGTGGCCCAAGCTGGCCTGATCTCGTCAGCTCTCAGGAGCTAAGCAGGGCTGGCCATGTGTTCCCTCTAAGGTGAGTTAGTGTGAGTTAGCTCACAGCTTTTTAGCCTCCAGCTCACACATTTTTGTGTTTGCTCAGGAGGGATGGCTCTGGAGCAAACTGATTTATGCAGTAGGCAAATCAGTTGCTCACAACTTTAATGCCAGTAGATCACAAAACAGAATTTTTGCTCACAAGACTCCGCAGCTTAGAGGGAACATTGGTTAGGACTTGGGTGGGAGACCACCAAGGAAGTCCAGGGTGGCTGCGCAGAGGCAGGCCATGGCAAGCCACCTCTGTTGGCCTTTTGCCGTGGGAAAACCCTTTGGGGTCTCCATCAGTTGGCTGCGACCTCATGGCCCTTTCCAGCCATTGCAAGTCATGCACTTAGGTAACTAGACCAGACTGGCTGTTATTGAGAAGCTTGAGCTCCTATAAAGAAGAGCTCAAAGACCACTGAAGTTAATAGGTTTCGAAGGGTGTAACTCTGCTTAGGACTACCACCGTGAAAGTCTTTGGGATCCTCGTAGTCGTGTTCAGCAGAAAGGAGTGAGGAGGGAATGTGGAGTCTGCTTCCTGAAGTCTGAACAGGTCTCTCTGTCTCTGCTTCTCTCAGGCTCTTTTTAAAAAGTTTACCCAGAAGACGTGGCTCTCCAGCACTGGCATTATGAACGAAATCATCGCCTGCACCAGCGTCCACATGTCCACGCTCCAGACCCTTAAAGAGCCTTTTCGACAGGTAAACTAAACCCGGGAAGGGTACTGAGGAGGAGGGCATCTGTGCTTTTGGTGGAAGGGTTTTAGGGACAGACCAGAGGTTTTTAAAGGCTTTGAGAAGGTCTCTGTTTTCTAAGATGATCATGCACAATTCCCTGTCCCATGGTTGCCACTGGTCAAGCGGGTATTGGAAACGACACCAAAATCTGTTTGCAGATGTATTTATGGAATTCATTTATACCCTTCCTTTCTGTCCAGTGGGGACCCAAGGTGGCTTACATCATTCACCTCTCCCAGGGGTCGTTTCGTAGAAAAAAAGCTAGGGGAACTCATTAGCATATGCCACACCCCCTGACATCACCGGAAGTGTGTCATAAGGCCACACACCCCGCCCCAACGGTCCCGGCCGCCGCCGGCCTTGCAGCTCCACTGCCGAGCCCCATGAGGGGCCCGGCAGTGGACCTGCAAGGACCACGGCGGGGGATCCATGCGTGTTCGCAGGATCGCTGCCACGGGGGGACAGCAATCCGCGCTGCACCGGCATCGCCAGGATGTGATGCTACGCGTCGCCCTGGCAACGGGACTCCAAACAGCCCCGTTGCCAGGGCGACGCGTAGCGTCACATCCTGGCAACGCCGGTGCAGTGCGGATTGCCAGAGGTCATTTCG